CGCTATTAGGTGGGAGGCCATTACTAGTAGGTTGGAGGCCATTGCTAGTAGGTGGGAGGCCATTGCTATTAGGTGGGAGGCCATTGCTAGTAGGTTGGAGGCCATCGCTAGCAGGTTGCAAACCATTGCTAGTAGGTTGGAGGCCATTGCCATCAGGTGGGAGGCCGTTGGAGGCCATCGCTAGTAGGTTGCAAACCATTGGAGGCCATTGCTAGTAGGTTGCAGGCCATTGGTATTTGGTTGGAGGCGACGTAGGTTTGGAGGGCATCGCTAGTAGGGTGGGGGCCATTGCTAGGTCATCGCTAGTTGGTTGGAGGCCATTGCTATTAGGTTGGAGGCAATCGCTAGTAGGTTGGAGGCCATTGCTATCAGTGAATCAGGTGACATGTCAGGAAGAGCCACGATGTCTCGCTCTGAGGTGGGACCCAGGCTTTGCCAATTTTAAGCCAGCCCCGCGGAAACGAGCACTGCTGTTTCAGTGGCTAAACAACCACACTCTCCAGACCATCCATTTCATGTCTCATGAAGAAATCAATGCCAAAACCCACACTTTTACACTGAAATGCCACTGAGGCAAACGGTTGGCGCAGAGCCACTACATTTTGCTGTTCGCCTTGGTTTATTGAAGGCATGGCGTGTGGGTCCGTCAAGGTAGATCAGAGAAGCGAGAACAGCCGTGATACTCGAGGCATGCACGGCGCTTCTTGAGTGCAATGCGGACATTGATGCCCAGACCAACACAGGCATGAGATAAATATGACTGTGTGACTGCAACACCATGTCAAACGAGCACGCTCTGCACGTTGAACACATTGAGTTCGCAAATGCTTAGGTGTTTCAGCTTTAATGGTCGCAGTGATGTTCAACCGTTTGGATGTGAAGGTCTTAGCGTCGAAGGTCTGAGTCCTGGCCGGTCCTGCCAATACCATGTTTTCCACATGAGGTTGCGAGACTTTTGGTTGATGCGAAGGCGGGTTCGGATGCTGTGAATTGACTACAGTTGAACATGTTTTGTTAGCACACCTGTTTTCTCTTTGGAGATATTGAGCATGTTTGCAGGCCAGTGTCCTCCGCCAAGATCAGAACGGTTTGTCTGTCACTGACATTGCCATTTTGGAGGCCAGATTGACAATCCAATCACCTCAATCAGCTGCTTTCCTTCGTGAGTTCTTCCAAAGAAGCTTTGAGGTTTCACAGGCCTAGACAAGACTAAACAGATTGCTTTTTGGTATGAAGATTGAGATTGTTGTTCTGTGCAGGGAAACCCGCAGATGGTCCAGATGCTTTTGGAGCGGGAAAAGCAGGAGGATGAAGAGATGGAGGCTGAGGTGCATAAAATCATCATTTTCCTTGGTGCAGTTTAAGTTCCTAGATCTCTTTGACTCTCTCGAAGTTGAGACGAAATGTCCACGTCCACGTTGAAGACTGAAAGCAACATCCAAAAGGAATTTTGCCCTTTACACATCATCACATCAGCAGGTCATGCAAGGGGCCATAGATGCGGGGGCGGACATCTCCCTGCTGCCACCTGTTGACAAGGCTGCAAACTCTTCTGCAGGACTTGCGTGCAACACTTTCTTTTTCTCTTTTCGAGTTCTGTTTTTTTATTTTTCGAGTTCTTTCTGCCCTTGAACGGGTAGTCTATTTTTTCTTTTCGCTTCTTTCTTCCTGACTTCGATCTGTCAGTCGCTTGCTTTAGACGAGCAAGAAATCCTCCGGCAAATGCTTAAGAAAGGGTTCGAGCCTCACGTGTTGAAGTGCAAATGCTTTTGGTGCACTGAGTGCATAACTTCCATCGTTCCTCACCTGGTTGATCCTTGTTGAGGTCTTAATTGAATCTTGGTGTCCTCACAACTTCAGCTGGCGAAATGCACCGCTGGAGAAAAGGATTGTGCATTTATGACACAAGTACAAGTAGTCTCAAGTCTACATCCTTGCTTTTGTTTTAGCCTCAAAGCATAGTCCCGACCAGCAAAACTCATGGGCCCTGTTGCTGTACCAGGTGCCAAAGGATAGTCTATAGAGTCTAGGAACGAGCCCTACAAATGGGTAAGTCCTGACACAGTTTAGTTGCTGGTTGCCACCATCGTACAGTCATACATACAATGAGACTGTATCCTGTATATATATATATATGTAAAGCATTCACCAGCTGTGCACATAACCGTCCATACAGGCTCAAGTCATAAGAGAAAAGGTCGCGTTCATCGGCGCCACTGTCGTTTTGCATGGTAGCGGAGCCACCAGGGGGGCTCAGAAAATATACCCCCGGCAGAGAATCAAAGATGCAGGGAGGCCCGAAGAGAGGCCAGAAGGAAAGAGCTTGAAGACAGACAAAGGCAAGAAGAAAGAGAAGCTCAAGAAGCCATGGATGCCCAAGCCCTAGAGGCCCTGGTGACAGCATCAAGGCAGTCAGCAGAGATGGCACAAGAAGCCATAAAAGCTCTGAAGGACATGAAGGAGAAGACGGAGAGAAAAGAAGGTGGAGGCTTTGCGACAGCCTCGTGAGTGGTGAAGGCACCAGAGCGAACATGGAAGAGGAGCTCAGTCAGTGGCAAGACTGAAAGTTGAGCTTCAAGTCATGGCTATGCTTCGCAGAGCCGGCCTATGAGAAAGAACTGTCAGCAGTCGAGAGCTCAGAGGTGGCCATGAGCATAGCTTCAATGAGTGAAGAAGAGAAGAAAATGTCTGAGAAGCTCTACGCCATTTTGGTGAGCGTTCTCAAGAACAGGCCATTGAAGCTTCTCAGAGCTGTAGACGGGAAGAACGGCTTTGAAGTGGTTCGACAACTAGCCACCCAGCTCACTCCCAAGACCAGAGCAAGAAGCATTGCTCTGCTGCAGGCCTACTTGAACCACCCGAACTTCAGCAAAGACAAGATGACGCTGCAGGAGCAATTTCTTGGCTTGGAGAGGCTGGCAGACGAGTATGCCACAGTGGCAAAGGAAGAGCTGAGCGAGAACGCGAAGTAGTTCTCATGAGGGTGATGCCAGCAGCCCTTCGACAACACCTTCAACTCCACATGACAGATACAACAACTTACAAAGAAGCAAGGGGGAAGGTGTTGAGCTATGAAAGGACGACCGCGTCCTGGGGTTCGCGGGCCATCTACAGAGAGCTGGCTATCACGAAGGACAGCAAAGATGATGAGGCAGGGTTGGCAAAGGTAAGGACAAAGGAAAGTCCAAAGGAAAGGGGAAAGACCAGAAAGGGAAAGGAAAGCAGAAAGGTAAAGGTCAAGGGTCCTACGGCGGCTTTGACAACAAAGGAAAGGGCAAGCAGCAGAAAGGGAAAGATGGAAAAGGAAAGGATGGAAAGGGGAAAGGGAAAGGCATTTCTCCTGACACGTGCAAACTGTGCGGTGGTAGGGGTCATTGGAGCCGTGAATGTCCAATGAAGACACTGAGGCAGGTCAGTGATGCCACAAGCACGGTCACTCAGACAGTCCATGATTCTGCTAGCGCAGCCCAGGCTTCGTGATCCTGGACGGTGAGGATTGGGTCACCCTTGGAAGCGAAGATGAGGGAGGCAATGCCCGCTTCGTGAGCTTCGAGGACTTGACCCATGAGGTTGGAGGAGGCCAGAGCGGTTCGAGTCCGTTGGCGGCGGATGTGAGGAGCATCCAAGATGACCCTGAGGTGACGGTTGTGTTGCGCACTGGAGCTGACGTTTCAGTGTTGCCGCTGCCCTTCAAACATGTTGGTCGGCCATTGTCGAGGACCAGCGTGCTCCGGGATGCACAGGGAGGCCTCATGAGGGGAGGCCAAATGCACCAAGCTCACATCGTCCTTGAAGATGATCAGGGCCAGATGGTGCAACTTCGAGAGAGCTTTGCGCTGTCCAATGTGTCAGAGCCTTTGCTGGCACTGGGAAAGCTGCTGAGGAGGTTGGAAGATTGAGGGCCAGGACGGTCTTGTTCGCCTGACCCATGGAATGTTCAGCAAAGGGTTGCAGTTCAGGAACAACTCTCTCATTGCTGGAGCACGAATTCGAGCAGTTGAGGTTGCCAGTGGACAGAATGAGGAGGAGAAGCAGGTGAGGGCAGTCGCAGTGGACAAGGATTCCTTTCCACAGTTCTCGAGGGTAGATTTCCCTTACAGGTCCACCCTGGTCATGAAGAAAGGTCTTTGGGAACTCGTTGAGATGGCAGAGAAAAGCCAAGAGGAGGAAGAGATTGAGGAATGTGAAGGTGAAGAGAGAAGGACGGACACATTCTTCCATCAGACCATTGACGAGTTCAGTGATCTTGGAATCATCAGCCCAGGTGATGACGATCCATTCCTTCGACCAGACGAAAAGAAGAAGGAGGAAGGCCAAGTTGAAGTCACAGAAGGTTGGTTTGGGAAGAGCTTTGAGGATGGAGTCTATGAGGAGGAAGATGAGGAAGAAGAGGTTGGTGAGCAGCATGAGCGCCAAGAAGGAGATCCCTTTGAATTGGAGCAGGCGCCGTTCGATGAGGAGATCAGTGAGGTTGAGATTGAGGGTGAATCGTACAGAGCCACATCATCCCTAAGGGAGTTACGTAAGGCCTTGAAGAAGTGTGGCTTGGGACGAGGTCGCGACAAAGAAGACGCATGGAGGAGACTTGTCCATCATTACCAGCATTTTGCTGAGAACCTTGCATTCGAGCTGTCAAGAAAGGAGTTTCAGAGGATGAAGAAGGATGAAGGAGAGGAAACTCGAGGACAAACGGTCCCTCAAACGCCGTCCAAAGGTGAGCGCCAAGTTCATAAACTCACTCACAACGCATATCAGCCATGGCGCCCACACTGTGTGGCAGGAAGGGGCCAAGATGACTACCGCATGAGTGCACAAAACCCCACAAGGCAAGAAGCCAAAGCAGAGATGCCTGTTGTTTCAATGGACTTCTGTTTTAGTAGAGGAGAAGGTGAAGTTGATGTGGAGGTGAAAGAAGATTTGAGGGCCTACCAAGGAGGCCTTCGAGGAGGAACGTGTCTCGTGGCGACAGATGATTGGTCACGTGCAGTCCTTTGCATCCCCACTCCAGGCAAAGGAAAAGCGCATCTTCGTTTCCTGGCAGAGCAGGTGCTTCATTGCAAGTCTTGGCCACTCAAGAGTGAACTTGAAAGGAGATGGAGAGCCATCTATATGCGCATGCTGCTAGAAGTGGTGCAGCAAGCTAGGCCCTAGGCAGAGGTTGGGAATCCACACCAACTTGGAGATCAGCGGGCCGGCGGAATCAAAGAGCAATGGAAGGGTCGAAAGAGAGATGCAAACGGTGAGAGGCCTAGCAACTACTATAGTGCATAGTGTCAAAGAAGGTTGCCAGACCCAAGTGAAGCCAAGTTCACCAATGTTTCTTTGGGCAATGAGACATGCAGGTTGGCTCTTGACCCATTATCGTCGACAAGGTGGAGGACCAACTGCGTATGAAGCCAGGACAGGACGAAAGTATTGTGGCAAGGTTGCAATCTTCGGCGAAAGAGTGCTTGTAAGAGTGAAGAGAGCAAATGGCAGCGACAAGTTTGAGGGCGACAAGTTTGAGGCAGTCATATGGCTGGGAAAGACAGACAGAGCTGACTTTCACATGGTGGCCACAGCCTCAGGATTGCAATGGACAAGAACAATTCGAAGGCTTCCCACGCCGTTTGATGTAGAGGCCGTGACCTATGTGAAGTACTGGCCATGGAATGTGGGATTTGGGCAGATTGGAGCAAAGACATCACCGTTAGTTGGCAAGCTTCCAGCGGCCCCAGTAGCGTCCTTGCTCCTAGTAGCGATGCCAGGAGCCTGGATCAAGTCCAAAGCCAGCAAGCAGCGGTGAGGAAGTTGAGGAGGAAGCGCCAAAGAAGATGCCTAAGGCCATGCCCCACAAACAGCCTCGACGAGAACCTAGTGATGAGGAAGAAGACAGAGAAGGAGACAGGGCTCGATCGTCAGTCAGAGTGGTAAGGATGGTCGTTGGAGGCGAGCTTGAAGATGGAGATGAAAGCATTGAGCTTCAAGACCAACCGCCTGCTGAGTCCTGAGAGTTGGCAGATGTTGCAGATGAAGCCACAGTTGAGGAGGTTCAGAGGTTGATTGGCATGGAGGTGCTGAAGAGGCCAGAGGAAGGAGAGAACATGGAGAAAGTGCCGTGTTGACAACAAAGCTTGTGATGGACTGGAGGTGGCGTGAACAACGTTGGAAGAGGCGTGCTCGTTTAGTGGCACGAGATTTTGCATGGTGCGACCCAAACAGAACAGATGTTTTCGCACCAGGTGGAGGCCATTCTTTGTTGAGGTCGGCGCCGGCGGGCTGCCAAGTCAAAGGTTGGAAGATGATCACGACGGATGTGAAAGATGCCTACTTGATGTGCAGCCAAAGAAGGTAAAAGTGGAATTGGATAAGGCCTTGGCAGACAGGTTGAACCTTCCACAGGAGTGGTTGTTAGGGCGAATTCTCCCAGGGCAGAGAGCAGGTGCAGCCCAATGGTTTCAGGAGTTGAAAAAGCGCCTCATTGAGGCAGGGCTTGTGCCGTGCCCTGAAGCTCCAACATTGTGGAGAGGAGAACAGTTGATCTTGCTGGTTCATGTGGATGACATGATCATCGGTGGGACCGATGAAGCAGTTGCAAAGATCACAGACCACTTGATGAAGAGGTATAAGGTGTCGATCGAAGAGGGGCGGACCATCAACGTGGATGCCTCGGCGACAGAGATCACGGTGAACGAGAAGTACACCCGCAACTTGGTCAAGTTGATGAGCCCTCTGAGAAGGTCAAAGACCCAAAACGGTGGAGGTCGATGGAGCAGAGATGAAGGAGAGCGATGAGAGGAGGACAACCTACCGTCAGCGGTGGGGACTTTGCTCTACATGGCAGGAGACAGGCCAGACATTCAGTTCCAGGTGAAAGAACTGGCGGGCAAGTTGCAGAACCCAACAGAGAAAGCGTGGTTGAGTTTGAAAAGACTTCTTGGGTACCTTGCAATGACAATGGACACTCGCGTTGTCATGAGAAACCATGAAGAACAACTCGTTCAGGAACAGAGCAAGAGGGTTGACAACAGCGCCAATGTTTGAGGAGAAGGAGGACGCATGGTTGCTAGAAGTCACTTGCGATTCAGACTGGTCAGGAAATAGGGCTACAAGAAGTTCAACGTCCTCAGGGTGCATTTTCTTGGCTGGAAATTGGATCCATGCCTAGAAGAACATCACGCTTTCAAGTGCAGAGTCAGAGTATGTTGCACTGGTGTCAGGTGCATCGGAAGGTTTGTTGCTGAAGGCGGTGGTTGAGCACCTAACCCAAGAGAAGGTGGTGTTGGTTGTCTATAGTGACAACAGTTCGAGTCTTGCAATAGCGCAAAGAGAAGGTGTTGGAAAGTTGAAGCACCTGAGTGGACGACTCCTTTGGTTGCAGCAGAGGCAAGGAAGAGACCTAGAGTTGAGGAAGTTGGATACAGCTACAAACCCGTCAGACCTAGGCACGAAGTCGCTGACAGGAAAGAGGGTGAACGTGCTGATGTTGTTGATGGGCTTCACCAATGAGGAGAACAACCTAGGCAAAGCAGAGTTTGAGGCTCAGAGGATGAAAGCAGACCAGCGGAGAAGGCTCAATGAAGCGAGAAAGATAGTCTACGCAGAAGAAGGGACACCAGGGAAGTCAACGCAGTCGAACCAGTTGGCCAAGAGCTCACAATGACAGCGCTGCTAGACCTGGTTGCGGAGAAGGAACAAGATCAGTGCTTTCAGAGGATGAACCAAAGCCCCAAGCACTTGGAAGAAAGGTCACTGGGACAGAGACGCTTGAGCAGGTGGTGATGGGACTCACGATTGCTATTGTGATCCTGAGCAGTCCTGATCCTGCTAAGAGCATTGAAGAACACGTCAAGAGAAGGCATGTGAACTCTTGGGACGCACTTCGCAATGTAGTTGGCGAAGAAGAAAACGACATGTCAGACGAGGACCAAGAGAGGATTGACCTGAGAATGTGGAGTGCTCCCAGGAAGTGGCGAGAAGGAGCAACAGATTGGCAGAATTGGTCGAATTGGCCATCAGGCCTCAGACAAGACATGAGAATGATGAAACAGAGGATGAGACAGAGAATCGCCAGTGGGTCAACTGGGCTGGACATTCCGGCCTAAGCTTCAGAGACTTCAGAGATGTGGTTGGCCCACCATGGGGCGAGGAGATTGAAGAGGAGGCAGAAGAACAAGATGGAGAGGTGAGAAGAAGCACCTATACGGATGACGATGGATGCATCTATGAGACAGAGGTGCATGTGAGAATGGTGAGAATGGAGGAAGACACATCTCCAAGTGAAGAAGATGAGGATGAAGGAAGTGCCAACTATGGAAGCCTTGCTGAGCACTTGGAGGCAGACAGCGAAGACAAGTACATCAGATTCGAAGGAGAAGAGTACCAAAGGCACAGAATGGAGATGATTGAGATCGATAGAGGCATCGAGGTGTATCTGATCATGAAGATCAGAGAGTTCAAAGACATGATCGAGGAGGACCCTGGAGATGAGGATCTACCAGAAGGCCTGAGAACTTTGAAGAACCTCCAAAGGATCATCATGGTCCGCGGTCCAGAAGGGAGGAAGATGGTGATAGATCACCTAAGACGCCTGAGGCAGTACATCTTCCATGTGAGAAGAGGAGATGAGTCAATGGACATCCCACTGGGGGAAAGCGAATACCCAGATGGATGGGTGGCGGCCCATTATGGACCGCCATTGCCACCAGATGAAGCTGAAGAGACAAGATCTCAAAGGGAAGATGAGAGTGCTGAAGACGATGTGATGTCACCAGCGGATGATGGAGAAAGGGGAGTTCCATCAGACAGGAGCTCGAAGAGCCCGAGCCGGAGAGCTGAGTAAGTGCATCCTCAGGATGAACACTGCAGGAGCTCGATGGCAGAACTTTTGGAAATTCTTGCAACCGAAGGCAGGGTGTAAAGCATTCACCAGCTGTGCACATAGCCGTGCATACAGGCTCAAATCATAAGAGAAAAGGGTGCGTTCATCGGCGCCACTGTCGTTTTGCAATATATATTATATTATATGTATGTGTGCATACAAGCAGTCACTTGGTTTTGCTTGAGGAAGCATTGCTAGGAATTGTGTATGGGCAATACCAAGCCTGACACACCCACTCAACACAAAGAGGACCTAATCTGCAGTGATGACCGTTACCCAAATGGCTTGATAGCACCTGCACCATCCATCCTTCTGATGCGTGGTGCCCGCTTCATGTCATGGCAGCGGTGGGTCCGTTGCCACGAAGCGACCTTGGGAGTCTGAAAGCGAGGCCGAGAAAGTACAGGGAATCTGGCAGTGTTGCTGAGGCTGCATTAGCAAAGAGACCGCTGAGGACCAGGCAGAACATTGATGCCCTCAGTTTAGATTCCCAAGAGCACAACTTCCAGGCAGTTCAATCGCTGCGGCTGGCGTGTGTCTTCAGTTGCAGACTCAACTTTGTCATAAAACAAGGGGACAAACAAATTAACTCGAATTCTTGTGTCAAGTTTCCCTAATCTAGACACCAAATCATTAGTGCGAGCGCTTTTTCAGGAAAGTTCCCCCTGCCTCTTCAGGCATCCTGCGTCCAGTTACTAGTCGCCCTTCTCCTAGCGACTAGTAGCGTGCCTTAGTTCGCTACTCCTGAACTAGTCGCTACTAGTAGAGTTAAGGTAGCAGTGCCCTTTGCTCCTAGTAGTAGGGAGGCCTGGGGAAAAGAAAACAATTCTGGTTTGTTCTAAGGTTCACGGCTTTTCCTCTGATGCTGACGCAGAACTGGCAATGCCCACAGAGCCCAGGAATCAGGCCAGAGAACCAGTTTGGCCAGGGAGGTTCAACATTTAGCCTGTATGAGGCGGACGTGCGAATCTATCGCCCCATGACTGAGACAGCCTGGCTTCCAAGGTCATCACGGAGTGTTTGTTCTACTTACGTCAAGGTCGTGTATCACTACTGAGTAGAGTAGACGCATGACCAACATGTCCGAGGTTCGAACATATCTCAACCCTGCCCACTTCTTTATGCTGCTTCGAGCTAGAAACTTGGAGTGTTGGTGAATGTTGCACATTTTTTTAAAACTAAGCGCATGTTGCACTGAGGCTCATGGCACTGAGTTCTTTGCTGGTGTTCCGGATTCTTTGCTGAAGGAAGGGTCCTAGAAGGGTCTTCCGTATAGCTTTGGGACTCGCCCTTCTGCACAAGAGGACATTTGTGCATATATCACCGACAACGTCAAGCAGAGTCAGCATGTCAAGCTCTAAGTCCGATCAAATTGACAGCATGGTCATTGATTTTGAACAGTATTTTGACAGACTTGTGTGACATGACCAAAGTCACCGAACCTGTTGTAAGGTCATAGCGGCCAATGAAGGAACTGCTTTGGCGATGGCTGCCGGCCACCATTTGGCCACTGGGAAAATAGCCAGAACCCTACTATAGCATGAGTATGGCCTGCGACACTTCAAGAAACGAAGCAGAGCCAACATCAAATTAGATTGGTCCGAGGCGTGTGTCTATCTGCAGAACTCCGGTCTGGGCAACACAATCAATCCCCTCCTTTCGTTGTGTAGCCAGAAGGCAGGAGACTTTTGCTCAAGGCAAATCAGTGAGTTGGGGTCCCATTGGGGTGGTTGGATTTTGATTGATTTTGTAGGTATACGCCATTCCTGCGTTGCTTTTGATCGGATGGCGGGGAGAGCCAGGCACGGGCTGGGCATCAGATGGCGTCAGCTAGCAGCTACCAACACTTCCCCCTTGCATTCCCCTTCAGTCAACCATGTGGGAGGCAAAAAAGACGAACCTCAACACCTGCTGCAAGGAGTTGGGGACTTAGTGGATGTGTTCATTTGAAGCCAAGAGTTGAAGCTAAGAGTTGAAGCTGCAGGCAATGACACCGACCATGCTGCAGCACATGGGAGTACCCTATGAGATACTTCCGGACTATGCAGAAGGCACCGGAGCCACGACAATACCAAAACACGTTGTTGGTATCTTTGTGCAGGAGCTTTCGAGGTCATTACCAAAGCCTATGCAGGGTGCCAAAGACTTGTTATAAGTTTCCCTAGAAGTCTAGGAACGAAATGAATAGTGCGAGTGCTTCTTCAGGGAAGCTCGCCCCCGGCCCTCAGGAGCTTGATTGAAGAAGCGTGAGCTATCCTGCGTCCTAGCTAGGAGCTAACTTGTCCTAGTTGCTTATAGCTTACTTCTCCGTTACTTAATTAAATTTAAGTAAGTAGGCACCTACTTAATTAAGGAGGCAGGGCCACGGGCGAACGCATATCTGGACTTAGATACCTACCAGATGACTCACGACCCAAACAGTTTCCGCCCAGGCTCACATGGAAAAGGAGAAGCAACCTTAGCCTTTAAAGTGCTGGTGAATGTAGCATGTATGGACCCACCTTTGCCAAGGAAAGAGCCTTTCGCTCTACTTGTCAAGAAGGAAACCTTTGAGAAATACAGGCAGGACTCAGCAAAGTGCGCATTTTTTGGATAGAATGTGCAGACCAGAAGCGGCATTGAGCTGTACGAGAAGCACCAGAAGTCATGAATATGAGACTTGGGTCGCCAGATCATTGCGAGGCTATCCAGCCAGGCCGAGGTTTTCAGCGGCGAAAACATGCTGCACCGTGAGGTGAGGTAGGATTATGTTTTTTTCTTTTAGCCCGCTCCTAGTTAATTAAGTAGGCACCTACTTAATTAAGGGCGACTAGTTCGCTACTAGTAGTTGGACGCAGGATAGCTTCCTTGAAGAACTGCTCACACTATATAATGATTTGGTTTCTAGATGCTTAGGGAAGCTTAACAACTAGTAACAAGAAGCTACTAGTAACACAGGGCAACCCTACTAGGAGCAAGAAGCTACTAGTAGCTCCTGGCATGACTACTAGTAACAAGAAGCTACTAGTCTTTCGGCCTTTCATTTCGGGATCTATGTTTTTCACGGAGCAGGTCTGAGTTTTCTAATCTTGTCTCTCTATTCAGGAGATCTTGGAGGAGATCATAGAGCATTTTCCTTCGTCACCTCTAGTCCGAGCCGACATGATTTGATCAGTTTATGTCCAATACGCAATACGCATACTATTGGAATCCAATCTGTATTCAATCAGTATTGAATTTGTTGTTGCTTTGTTTTGACTGCAACCAGGTGACCACCACAGGTTTCACCTCTCGGGAGATGTTTGAGCTGCGGGTGCAGAAAGGCGGGCTCTTTTCCCGTACCTCTAAATGGAAAAATGGCAACATTCCATTGGTTGTTTAAACATCTGGACCTGCCTGCCTAAAAAGACATTCACCCGCGGAAATCTGTAAAGGTACATATCGCATATTGCATTCTCAGACAGCGCCTGCGACTCTGTGGCTTTCCCTTGATTCAGGTCAAGCGCATGGTCATGACTTTTTAACAGTTGCGGACTTAAGGAAGTCTGAGCATTTGTTTTGAGGCAAGGGATTGTAGCGTTTCCAAGGTTGGAAGTATGGGACATTGCTCTTCCATTGCCCTGGGTCCGCAGCATAGTCTCCTGCCACATAAAAACACAGACCTCTCCCAACTTTTTCCTGCTCCAAAGGTTAGCGTTTAGAGTGCGTCTAGACTCTTTAGACCAGGTTGCTTATTCAAAACAGACTGTGCAAATCTCACCCAGGTGTTGCCCTGTCAAGATCGCAGGATGTGCTTTGCATTGATGGAGATGGTGCAGCCCGGAGTCCCGAAGCCGTTGAGATCACCGCACAGCAATGCAGAGCAACCGAAAGCAATAACTGGGAATATAATGGAATACATATATATATATATATGTATATTATATACATAGAGTAATAGAGAGAAAAGGATGGAGGGAGAGCAGATCTGAGGCATTGATGCACATGGGCTCGTTTGCCACCATCGCCAAGTGCAGTGCCTTCCCCAGCACTTTGTTCCACCAGAAGGTGCCAGCATGCGGACACCAGTTGCCATGAGGACTGAAAAACTTCAAGCACGTGCTCATCAACAATGCCGTGCATGACTCTGTTGGTGGTCAACCTACAGGAGCCGCCAGCGGAAGCAGGACCATGACATGCACAAGACTTCTTGCAAGAGGATCTGTGCAAATTGATTTTCCTGGCATTGCAAAAGCATGTGGCTACCAAGAGGCCTGATTGTTGGTTTGTGAAGTTCATTTGCAATTTTACAGCCTGGAGGCTTTGCGAGCTCGTACTGGTGATGAAGTGCGCGTGTCTTTGGAGAAGCTCAAGGCAGCAGAAGCTCAACAAGCTACAGATTATCACACATTGTGACCTTTCCATTCTTCTTCATCAAAGAGCCATTTCAAACGGCAAGTGCTGAGAGTTTTGTCATGACAGGAGACCCTAGGTCCATGCTTCCTGGAGATCCAAGCGCTGTCCGGGCTCTTAATTCAAATAGAACATGACCCAGCCAACGCTGAGCCAAGCTCAGCTGAGTGCAACAATTGAGACGTTAAAAGATTTGGAAGCTTCGCTCGATTCGCCATGATTGGCAAGTCTGACCCATGAGTCGTAGTAACCATGTGATATCACATTATTAGAACTTACTGCGTCAGTTTCTTGAGTGCAGTTTGCAGGCCAGGAGCCCGAGCTGATCTGGGACGACCTACAACTTCAACACACCAGAACAAGGACAGCCTCTGTGAGATGAAGTTAATTCTTTTTCAACGAGGCTGGTAAGAGGAGGCAGCTGTTTGAAGTTCGTAGCTAGCAGCTAGGTAGTAGAGTAAGGGGTAAGGTAGGTAGCTACTAGGTAGGCAACAAGTTGGGCCGCAGAAGAGCTTATAATGAGCTTTCCGTGAGCTTTCCTGCGTCATGGGTAGAAGCTATTCAATATTACTGCTTACTATCTTCCTTGTTAGGTCACTGCGGCCTACCCCCCTGAACCGGGCCGAAAAGCAACACATGACTGATGGGGTTGTCAGTTTGTGGCACCGGTCCTGGCAGTTGGGTTGTCCATCTAGGACGCCTTCATGACCCAGCTCCAGGGCAAAGAAGGCATCCTATCCTCCTAGGATACAGCTAATGTACTGCATGCTTTGAGGAAAGGAAGCAGCAATGGCTGCAAGTGTTCAGTCCTCGGCCTGCATCAAGTACCATAGATTCGATACTGGACTTTGCATCAGCAATCTCATCGTTTCGGAGATGTTAAAGATTTTACTGCTGAGTACCTTTATCTTCGGATCACCAAAGTGTTCCGACGCTGATGCTGCTAATGAGCCAACCAGAAGTGTTGGGACATTGTGACGGTCTAAGACCTTTCGGCAGGGATGGAAGGTCGCTTCAGTGCGGAAAAGCGCAGCCAACTTGCAAATGGTCCAGGTGTTTGTTTCTTCATGATTTGCTACTTTGTCGTGAGCCAGCAGGTTTGGCGAAACTTGGCCTCGGGCGAGCGCGATGCAAGCGAGCCACTTACCTTTTTCCCCGACACGTATACCAAATATGCGATGAGGTTTCTGCCACTCTAGCATGCACTGCGGCCACGGAGTTGGAAGTTAACTACCAAATCTCTTCTGGCAAGTTGCTTTCAAACAGGCCTGGAGACAGCCGCTGAACAGTTGAGACAGAGGTAGGGAGAGGTTTTTTCTTGTATTATCCAACATGTTGGAACTTCCTGGTCTGGTTTACCTTGGAACTCTCGCGTTTCAAGGTGTCAGTGGATGGACGGCTTCAGCAGTGCAGCTCTTGGAGTTGCAGTCAGCAACTTCAGGCGGATTTCTTTGCTTTGCGATGTGGACAACGTGGATAGGCACATTTGTCTTCTCTGTGTTTGTTGACGGGACTGGTGGCAATAGGCGAGCTTGCCCAGAACATCGAGCAAACTGTCTTCCAGTCTTGTGCGGAGCCCCGACCGAGAAGAGGATGCATGGCATCCTGCTGAGAGCCTCAAAAGATCGTGACATCACAGGCAATTAGCTTTTTGCTACTAGTAGCGATGCACTTGCTGCTAGTAGCGATACCCTTGTTACTAGTAGCGATGCCCTTATCTACTGACACAAAAGTCAGTCAACGTTATCACAGAACTTGTGCATGTTGTGCGCACAGCTTCGAATGAAGCTCAGGCCAAGCCTGGTACGCCAGCAGCGGCGGGCTAGGCGCTGGCACGATCTTCGAGAAGAAAACACCCCACACGGCCTCACACTGCCTCGTTGTTGCAGCAAGCACGACGTAGCATGAAGATGCGTGAAGTAACTTTAAATCACTCTGCGCTGTATCTTTAAAATGCAAATGCCACCATGTCAGGCAAATGTACCGAGCCATCGAAGCTATAAGCTCGCAGAACGTCCTCATTTTCCTGCAGGTGCCAATGTCCACTACGAATGCGATTCTTTTTTGCCTTTGGGACCCCTTTGGTGTGGATAGGTCATATTGGTTTGCATCAAGACGTTGAGTGAGCTTCTTGCGGAGTGTTCGGTTCAGCAGAGGGCTTGGTGCAAGATCTCTCATGTGGGCTCGGATACGGCCGCAAGCCATCTCAGGATTGGCAAATTAGCTGATCCAGACTGGTCCGACGAGGATATGATTGTACGCTTCCCTACATTTAGAAGAGCCTTTCGCTCTTAGGTTGGAGGCCATCGCTTTTAGGTTGCAGGCCATCCATCGCTCTTAGGTTGAAGGCCATTGCTATTAGGATGGAGGCCATTGGAGGCCATTGCTATTAGGTTGGACCACTTGAGGGAAAGAACAATCATATCCTTGGCAGGAGCGTGAATGTGTTCATGAGAGCGATGAACTTCTCAGTCTTCTACGAGGGTCCAAGACCAAGTCATTGGCTTGCAGTGCATGCACTCCGAGTGCGACATTGTTGTGGCACAGATTAAAGATGTGCTGCTTTGACAGGCTGTCTGGTTTGAGGAGGTTGTTATGGCGGTTGGGTCTTGCAGCAGAGCTATTCATGCCCGAAGGCCTCAACTAGCAGCTCCAAAAACGCTGCAAGTGGAATACGTTTCAGGAAATGACAGCATTTGAGAAAGCCTGTAGCCAGCTGTTGGGCACTTTTGGCCAGCGAAGGTGAAGGCCCTATGGATAGTCCAGACGCACAAACACTCCAGGCACACTCAGCCGCTGAGAGGATTTGTATATGCATGAGTCATGTATCGAATTCTGCGTAAAGTTTCTCAGTAGATTTTGGGAGGAATTGCAAAAGTTGATTGCATCAAGTCTGGCGAAGGCCAAGGCAGGGGAAGTCCTTGCACACATTCTCGTGGCTTTCATAGATAGCTTGATGGCTGTACCCTGTTTGCGTTGAGGCTTCATGGGCCAAACTTGAGTCGGACATCATAAGTAGGATGCCTTGGAAGCCTGCCTTTTTGCTGGGAACAAGTGCTCTACCAAGTGCTCTACCAAGGTCTTCGGCTAAAAATAGAGCCCTGGCAAGAAGCCGCGACCTTTGAGGCCGGAAGAGTTTTGCTTCACGTTTGCATTTGCCCTATGGCCCTATGGCCTTAAGGTTGAAAGTAGCAACATGATAAGCTCAGTTCTGTTCCACAACTGAAAGGCCGGTGGGTGCACAAATGGCAGCGTGCAACAACATCGGACCGCACCTCTTTGCAGGCAAATAGCTTTAAATTTGCTTTCCAGTCAGAGCCCGTTCCAAACCCTTGATACAAGAAACAACGCAAGGAATATAAGAGGTCTTAAAAAGGAAGAAGTAAGAAAGAAAGGCAAGAAGGTGCGTATGCAAGAGAATACATTTTCACTTTTTCAGAGAAGTCTATGTAAGCATTCTGTCTGTGCAGACTGTGCCTGCTACCAGCGGTGCCGCTGGGGATGGAGGCGATATTCAGAAGCTGCTTGACACATTCTTGCCATTTTTGGACACAGGCTGAGATAGATGATGCTGGTGCAGCATCGGCCTTAGCATTGATCTCAGTAGTTTTGGTGTTTCTTTCCTTCTACATTCTAAGGTGTCTGCGCCTTGGCGAGGTGGACACTGGCATGTGCAGTGTGCCAACTTCTGGCTGAGGCGACATTGATACCGCTGGAATGCAAACAATGACATTTGGTTCCAACTGGGTCAAGAACTTTCGTAACCTAAATGATTAAGCTGTTTTGTGTCTCGAGGAATCACTCTTCCCGAGATAACCTCTAACTCTCAGACCAGTCGTACTGAAGGGGATTTGTAAAATTGTCGAAGGGGGAGGGAGGGAGGGAGGCAGGGAGGGAGGGATCCGTGAACAAACATCCAAGAGAACTCTCATTCCTGGAACAAAGATGTGTCTCGGTGAGGAGACCTACATGGGTCATAGCAGCGGCTGCAAAGAATAAGAGATTCTCGAGGAGGTGTTAAGGCAACCGGTACCAGCGGCAGGTCCGCACGCAAGATGACCTCTGTCACCAGCAAGAACGACCTTGAAGACACTGGAAGTTGCTGGAAAGCGTTGTTGTGACTTAGCAAAGGGCAATGAATCTTAGCAGAAAGCAACTGCACTGTCCATGAGACCATTGACCCTAAAGGTGTGATCAAGGTGTCCAACCAACTCATCAACATCTTTTGATCTGCTGCGTCGTACTGCATACAATAATACTAGTACATATGCAGTGTATATATATATATACACATACACTGTGTATGTATATATATATATATATTTGTAATTGTATGTACATGCACTCTCTCTCTCTCTATATATATAAAACATATATATATATTATATACATACACACTGTGTGTGCATATATTAGATACACACAGTGACCATCTTCAGTACTTTCGGGGTAGCATATCTACTGGCAGTTGCTGGCTTTGTTTTTCCTTGGGTGCTTCATGCTTTCTCCATGGTCGCATCTCTTCTCACCGGACCTGGCACGATTCTCCTTGCACAGTTTGTTTTACGCTGGGGGTCTCTTTTTGTTGGTGGGTCCTGCCAGATTGAATTCATTTTTTCGGCCTACCACCTCATCCCAACCCGCAACTTGGATGTTTAGCTGAGGTGGATCTAGGCCTGAACGTCACACCTTGAAGGATTCCTCAATGGATCCGCAATTTTTGCTCTGTATCCCTGTGCTAGCAGTTTCTTTGTGATTTGATCCTGTCCCCTCCTCATTCATTATTCTACCACCTTATTTGCTATCTGGCTATCTGGTCCATTGTTACTTCGGTTGAGCATTGGGGGTGGTTACTTGCAACCTGCTTTGATCCCTGTTTGCTGCGTTTGCTATTGCCCCATGCCAAAGGTTGGGACCATCCCATGGGATTTCAGTTACAGGTGGCGAGAGGAGGGGTGATTGAGGGAGAGGTAGGTGCGCAAGACTTTCGGGTGACCGATCAAATCAATCTAATTGTTGCAGAGATGTCTTTCGCTATAATTGAACCGTAATCCTGATTTTAGATCTTTGAATACATTGATGCTTTGATTGAATTGTGGCCAAGTCACAGATTTCAGGCATGCATCCTGCTCCAGGGCATTCAAGGCAAGGACCAAACGTCTTTGATGATGTGCCTAGGGTTCTGAAGACAACCCATGAAACTAGTCGCTTTCAGGATTTGAAAGTGGAAGATCCGTTTGAAGAGTATCACTGTGAGGGCTAAGCACTTTGGCAGCGGAAGGGGAACGCCATGAACACTCTAACAGGACAGGTAGTACGGTAGATCGGTTTCCCGTCCCGTCACGCCGAACTCAGAGCAGAGTTTCACCTCCCGACGCGGTGAACCCGTCCCAGGAGACTTAGAGTCAAAGGACGCTACTAGGAACAAAGGGCACTACTAGGGGCTCCTGGCATCGCTACTCGGAACAAGAAGCTACTTTGCTTGCAATTTCTCTCAGAGAGGCATGTCTCCTTGCAATTTCTTAGAATTTGGCACAGGCTCTGGCATGACCCGGCTCGCCCTACAGTCTGCAAAACTCATTCGCCATTTACTTCTATTCCAAGTGAAACGACTTAGACCCTTAGGCTGTAAAGATGGCAGTGGCATTTGTAGATGCAAACAAACGTCTTGTGTGAGTCAATATCAATGATGGCTAGGGCTGCGCAAAGCAGACGCAGACCATTCTCACAATCCAAGAGGGTCTGGTCAGTAGGCACATAATTAACATGATTCTTGAGTTAGTGTTAGTGACATCAACCTTTCTTGCTGGAGCACAAGCAGCAAGTGATGGCAAAATCATGGCGCTGTCTTCTCAAGACTTCCCCAACACTACAGCCGAGTCAAGCTTGAATGTGGAAGACTTCTCTGCAAAAGCCGAGGGCGATGAATGGGCGAACTCGGCGGCTGACATTTTCCGTCGCCACGGATTTTGCATTGTTCTGGATGCATTGACATTTGAGGAAGTTTCGGAGGTGTTGCAAACATGCCTGGATGCAGAAACCGATATACTACGGTTGGATCCAGATAGACTTGGCTGCCGGGATCCTGGGCGGTATAGCTTTGGAGCTGCATCCGAATCCGGACACATGTTACACCATCCTGCTTGGCGACACCTTTTGCAATCAAGATCTATGCTCCTGGTATTGCAGCAAATCTTTCCTGCGGGTTTTATCTTCTGTGGAGGTGGTGGTGACTTTGTCAGGGGCGGGACTTTGAACTATCAGAGCCTCCACTCAGATCTAGGACCCTCGCGAGTCCCACCTGAACATCGCTCAGACAATCCTCCCCCAATGATTTCTGTCAACTTTACAGTCCAAACCATCACAGCTGACAATGGTCCTATGCGGGTCATTCCAGGCAGAAAGGTGATTTCTGGAAAGACGGATTCGCCTCCTCACTTTCCAGACGAACCGGAGGTTCTGCGCCAATCAAAGCTTTTTCCGCTTCCTTTAGGAGCTGCCATCATTCGAGACCTTAGGCTTTGGCATGGAGGAACTCCAAACTGCAGTCCAGAAACCCGCTTTTTGCCCAGTGTTGAGATTATGTCGATGGGATATTCGACATACATGGCTGGCCCGCACTCCTTTGGAGATCAATATTGTGATGTGTGTAAGTGGCATCGGTGCTCGATCCTTTACCGGTATCCAGTGCGATGCTTGCCCGATGATATCTTTCAAAGGTTAGCGCCAGAGGTCCAGAAGCTCTGCGAATCCGTTCATGCCACCGGCCAAGTGCTCACGGGCTTTCGGAACTTCGCCCGTGCTCAGCGTTCCTGGGAGACCGAGTGGAAGCGGCAAAGTCGTGGGGGTGCACTTCAAAGCACAGAGGCGAGCTGGCAAAGAGAGAAGAGTGAGAGGTTCGTCTCTTTCAAGGAAGGCATTTCGGCAACAGGGACCGTGCTTGCAAAGACGGCGCGGATAGCACTAGGACTGTTTTTGATTGTAAAAGCTTTACGCGTTATGAATGCTTTTTCTATGGCACTGGAGCAAGCTGCTTGCTCTGCCAAGTTGACTTTGCTGAAGGCCCTGCCCCCTGCTGCATCAGTTTTCCTTACAAAGCTGATGGGAGTCCTTGCGTATTTGTAAAGACATTGGAGAACACAAACTGAGCGTATTTGAAGCTTCAAGGAAAAGGACGGTTATTGAGGGATGGCCGCAGCACATTGTTGCACTTTGAACATGCTTTTAAACAACACCTCGAAGACCATGGATGCCTCCGACACCTTCACAAGCACCGCGCACACAAAACCATTGAATACAGATGCTGCTGGCTAAATTGAACAGGCGATCTTCAACATTATGTCTTTGGATGCACAAAGGACTTGCAGTCAGAACTCCCAAAAACAACAAGTTGGCAGTGGCAAGACACGAGGACGATGACTATGAATGTTCATGAACAAGTTGGTCTCAAACGGAACAATCCATGCGCTCCTTCACTGCTTTACACAGACAAAGTGCTGCTACGAACAAAAGAGAGGCGATGCCAGCAGTTTTTTTTGGATGCCCAAACACAACATATCATCAAATGAGCAGTTTTGTGATCTTCCTCAAATCTTGCATGCTGCATCATTGTGCTCAATGCATTCTTCATCAAGACATACTCAGAAATCTTGGACGTGAAGTGACCTTGACGTGCAGAATTTAAGGGCTCGACTCATTAGGAGCTTCCACCCCGCCCTTATTGGAGTGGTCTGTCGTGCAAGATGCAGTAAGTACATCCGAGGCCTGGACATTCCAAGCCATGCTCCGTTTCATGTGAACCAAACACGAGAGATGCCGGAGGCCATGTCGGTGCGATTGCGGTCGCGGTCCAGAGAACGGAGAAGGTCGCCTTCGCGAGCCAAGAGGCAGGCGTTGAAGAGCTACTAACAAATTGAAAAAGTTGAAGCGAAATATATAATTCTATGCTAGTGACTAGTGGTGCCAGGCGAACATCTTGTTTCGGGGAGAGAGAGAGAGAGAGAGAGAAAAGAGAACATTGGGACTGATGCTATCAGGAAACCTCTAGAAAGGGCCAGGAGACGACGAAGCGCCACGCGTAGCTTGACTCCCAAAAGCAGGACTGATTCGATCCGAAAGCATTTTAGTAGCGTCCTTGCTCCTAGTAGTATGGCCAGGAGCCCCTAGTAGCGTCCTTGCTCCTGAAGTGGTAGTGTCAAGATTTAACAAATCAATGTGATATGATGTGAATTATTTGGTTCTTGTATGTTGTTGTGCCGAAGGAGTCCCAAGAGAAAAGCAGGCAAAGAAAATGTATTCTAGGAAAAGACTTTTTCAAACATCAAGGAACCAATTGCATGGTGCGAGGGCTCCTTCAAGAAAGCTCCCCTCTCTGCCTTTAGGGCGGCGGCGAAGCTTCTTTGAAGAAGCCTGAGCTTTCCTGCGTCCATATGTAGTAGCTTAAGTAGCTAGTAGCCTACTCCCCTTACTCAATTAAGTAGACGCCTACTTAATTGTGTAAGGCCGGAAACTATAAAAAAAGAAAGAAACAAGCAAAGAAAGAAAGAAACAGCACCTACTACTTTCCTTTAGCTACTTAAGCCTACTCTCACAGCCTAGAACATGTTTAAAGGCTGAGCAGCTCTTTAGACACCAATTGCTGCCTTTACAGGTGGCGGTGGCGGTGGCGGTGGCGGTGGTGGCAGCGGCTTCGATGTGAAGGTCATGCCGGAAGATTTAGAGCGAGTGCAAGCTCTGGCCAGGCCAATTGCAACCATTCAGTGTCAAACAGGTTTCTAAATCTGAGCCACGCTTGTTGGAAGGCAGTACAATCAAAATAAGTCGGTTGCGCAGGCAGGTTGCAAACGAATAGATTCTGTGCAACATGCGTTTGTCGCGCCTGATTGTAGGCCGTAGCGCTGCATTTGGAACAAACCAAGAACCAGCAGCCGCCAAATCCAGAGGTGGAAGCTTTTCTGTCTCAGCAACTTGAATTGCAGGCAGTGGGTGAGAGGATTGCAAACATTGTTTGGTCAGTACGAGGCAGAACAATGGTGATAGGTTATAAGTGAAGATATGGACGATTATTCTTCTGAGGTATCCGCAGATCCAGGCATGGAACGGAGAGGTCTTCGAGGGCCTTGCAAACAAGTATAACTATAGATTGCAGGCTCATGCTGCAGCCAGATTGCGGGCCCTTCCTAAAGAAGCGCAGACCAACGCAGCAGCCTTGCATATCGCCAGTCTTCGTTCCTGGTAGTTCTTGATTTCTGAGCAAGGTTCTAATGCGTGGTGGCTTGGGAAGTGCCCGTGATCCAACTGCTATGCTACTTGGGAGGACAGTGCAGCCAATCCGAAAAGCTATGCTGGGCTCGTATCGTTGTATGGGTGGCATTGGCTTACCATGGCTTCTTTCTAGAGTTAGAACGAGTCTGAGGACACATGCAAGCAAGCAAGCAAAGTCAATACTTGCATGCTTGGCACATCTTGGTCAGTTCCGGTGCTTTCCAGGATACGACAAGTGGACCCTTTCAACACGACTTGGGTGCCTCACACTCCTGGGATGCAACCTTTCCCAACACAAGCTCAGCAGCTATTTGGCAAGATGTTAGGCACGAAGCTAGCAAACTTGAAAGAGAAAACAAAGGGACTTTCCAGTAAAGTCAGTAAAGCTTTCTGATAATTCTGCCAAGATTTTGATTCTCTCTTGATCTAAGGATAGCAGTCCAACAGGCACTGAATTCGGGCTGGTTGTGAGATGGAGAGTTTCGAGCCTGAATGAGTTTGCAGAGTTTGCAGGTGGCAAAAATTGCACCGGACAAACCTCCACCTCCACCAGATGAGAAACCGAAAGTCCACGACTCAACATGGCCACCACGTGCCAACATGACGTAGAATCAATGCTTCTTGTGCCAAAGCTAAGGAAAAAGAAAAGGACTGCTTTCATCAAAGACTAGTCATTGTGTTTTGAGTTTTCATCCTTTGCCACAATTCCACTCCTTTAGCTTTGAAGCCTTGGCCGCTGTTTGATACGAAGTGCTACATGTTGACAGCTGCAATTTTCATTGCTTCCTGTTTCAGCTTGGCCTGGGCTGTAGCTGACAAGTGACCACTGTCTCGTAGACTGGGGGGAAAACATCTACTGATCTACTGTATGTTTTTCCTTGAACATCTTTAAACTACTCACTCTACTCACCCGCTCCCTCCGTCCCTCCGTCCCTCCCTCCCTCCCTTACCTACCTTCCTACCTACCCACCCACCCGCCCACCCACCTTCCTTCCTTCCTGCCTTCCTTCCTTCCTTTCTTCCTTCCCTCCCTCCCTGCCTTCCTTCCTGCCTTCCTTCCTTCCTGCCTTCCTTCCTTCCTTTCTTCCTTCCCTCCCTCCCTGCCTTCCTTCCTTCCTTTCTTCCTTCCCTCCCTCCCTCCCTGCCTTCCTTCCTTCCTGCCTTCCTTCCTTCCTGCCTTCCTTCCTTTCTTCCTTCCCTCCCTCCCTGCCTTCCTTCCTTCCTGCCTTCCTTCCTTCCTGCCTTCCTTCCTTCCTGCCTTCCTTCCTCCCTTCCTGCCTTCCTTCCTCCCTTCCTGCCTTCCTTCCTTCCTTTCTTCCTTCCCTCCCTCCCTGCCTTCCTTCCTGCCTTCCTTCCTTCCTTTCTTCCTTCCTTCCTGCCTTCCTGCCTTCCTTCCTTCCTTTCTTTTTTCCTTCCCTCCCTCCCTGCCTTCCTTCCTTCCTTCCTGCCTTCCTTCCTGCCTTCCTTCCTTCCTTTCTTCCTTCCCTCCCTCCCTGCCTTCCTCCCTTCCTTCCTGCCTTCCTTCCTGCCTGCCTTCCTTCCTTCCTGCCTTCCTTCCTTCATTCCTTCCTTACTTCCTTCCTTCCTGCATTATTGTCTTTTTTACCTTTCTTCCTGCCTGCCTGCCTGCCTTCCTTCCTTCCTGCCTTCCTGCCTTCATTCCTTCCTTCCTTCCTTCCTTCCTTCCTGCCTTCATTCCCTCCTTCCTTCCTTCATTCCTGCCTTCCTTCATTCCTTCCTACCTTCCTTCCTTCCTGCCTGCCTTCATTCCTTCATTCCTTCATTCCTGCCTTCCTGCCTTCCTGCCTTCCTGCCTTCCTGCCTTCCTTCCTTCCTTCCTTCCTTCCTTCACGCTGCGCACGCTCTGACATTGGTTTTCGGTTAACTCAATTCCCAGGTGGAAAAAGGTGAGGGAACAGCAAGGCGAAAAGTTCAAGAGTTTGAAGATGTTTCAACAAAAGGTTTGGTGCACATCCGCAGTTGACGAACGCGCGGCGGCAGAAAGCAGCTGAAGGAAAAAGGTTTAGGGGGAGGTATCATGCAAACCACCATGGAAGCAAACTACGGAAAATTGGGGTGACAGCTTGTCCGAAAGTGACTCACTTAAAACAAGTGATTTGCCTCCACCTGACATCTTTGCACACATTTTCTTGTCCAGTTT